TCCTTCTTGTCTCTCTTCAGCTCTGCTTTCAAGAACCATCTGGCTTTATCATGTAAACAATTCAATTTTCTTCAGTTCTGGGCCTATGTTTGTGTATTAGCCAGGGCAGGCTGATATCAGTTGTTGAATAAAATAAACATTTAGTGTTTATGTTGTAGTTTGCTGTGGGTCCCCGGAGAGGCTCTGCTCCATGCGTTCATTCAGGGCATCAGGCTCCTTTTATGTAGAGGCTTTACCTTCTTCTTGGACGCAAGAGAGGAAGAACTTGAAGAATGGCTCAAGAGATTTTAGGGTTAGGCCTGGAAGCATCATTTCTTACTTCCTCCTGCATTCTACTGTTCAGAACTCATTCATAAGTCCCACCTAACTGCAAGAGAGGGTGCAAAATGCTGTCTGATTGTGTGATCCAGAGAAAATGAACTGTTCTTTGATGAACATATAGGATTCTTTCTGTCATACTTTAAAAACATATTAGGTTGATCTGCTAAACAGAAGCCTAATCTGGGTCTCCACTCCTTTATTAGCATTTTAGTGAAAATTTCTTTCTTCTACCTGACCCCATCATCTTAAGCATGTCTTCTTGTCTGATATGATATTGCCAAATCCCTTAGAAAGAAGTGCCTCCCATCAATTTTGTTTCTTCTTTTCATTGTCTGTTTATTTAAGTGCCTTAAACTGCCCTTTTTATTGCTTCTATATTTAGCCTAGTTCATGCAGTGTGCATATATAATTGCTACCTTTAAATTTTGCACTAATAACGCTCAAGGGATTTTTTTCTTATGAATTGATGCTATCTACTGGACTCTGAAATGATATCGGCTGCATTTAGTTCTGATTTTAACTAACAGGCTCAATGTTAATGTCTTCAGAGCTTTTTGACTGTTGCTGAAAATCTGTCCCCACATTTTGTGAAAGCCCACTTCTCTTCGTTGTCCCCAAGGATTCCCCAGTTACCTTTCTCAGTTTGTCAGCTGCTTTATTTTTATTTCTCGTCTGTTTCCAAATTATTCCCTTTAACTGCCTCGACTTCTTGCTCTTTTTTTTTTTTTTTTTTTTAACTTTGATTGCTCCCTGTGTTTCCATAATCAACTGGGTGGTTGTTTTTCACAACGTATGCACTCAGTCCCCCTAAGTGAAAGGAGTTAATGAGCACTTCAATTACTTCTGTTTGCTTCCCATTCCCTGACCTTCCCATTAATTTCAGTCTCCCAGTGTGTTTTGTACATTATTGTTGTACTTTGTACAATTTTGTTTTTCAGAATTTTAATATGTGGATCAGTTTGACTTTGAATTCAGTTTTTCTGAGCTATTTTGTGACAGTGTTTATCAAGCGTTTAGGGGGTTAGCCAAAGCTATGTGAACAAAGATTGTTTAAATTGAGCTCAGGAAAGGTTTTCTATGGACATGATGGGTCGAAGAGATGATAATTATAATAACGCAGAAGGAGCAATAAAATATTTTGTTCAAATTTGGATTTTTTAATATCTCTCAAATGCAGCTATTTTAATGCATATATCAGTTTAGAGTCTGGCTACTAGCCTGCTGCTTTTGCTGGTGGGATTGTCTTTTTTTAAACTGACAAGTTGAATATAATGGGTGAGCTTAGTAGAGTTACCAATTCAACAAAATAACCAAAATAAGGTTTAAAAGACTCTTGGTGGTGTTGATCATTTTATGAGGGGTAATTTCTTTGAAGGATATGGATAGAGAAATGTTTCTTGCCGAGTGAGGTTATGGAGTAGCTAACACTTTTATTTCCTTGACAGTAATAGGTATGTGGTTTATTGATAAGCTTCCCCCTCCCTAACATTCCAGGAACCTGTCCCCGCCACAGGGATGAGTTACGAGCATTACCAAGGCATGGCTAGTTAGTTTGGCCATTTTGCTTGGTTTAGAGATGGATGTGTGACCCACCCATGGCCAAAGAGAGCTCCACCAAAAATGTTTGCAGGAACTTTCAGGAAAAAGTACTTCCCCGACCCCTTAGTTGCTAGGCTGTAAGTTGGAGCTTCTGGGAGCTCTTGTTGCCATCATGTGAAGAGAGCTCTACCCAAGGACAAAACAGAATGAGGAGAGCAAAACTAAGAGGGAGAGAGACAAAATTCCCAGATGTCAGTTTCTCTCTCTCTCTCTCTCTCTTTTTTTTTTAAGATTTGCCCTGAACTAACATCTGTTGCCAATCTTTTTTTTTCTTCTTCTTCTCTCCAACTCCCCCCAGTACATAGTTGTATATTCTAGTTGTAGGCCCTTCTGGCTGTGCTATGTGCGACGCCACCTCAGCATGGCTTGATGAGCAGTGCTAGGTCTGTGCCCTTGATCTGAACTGGTAAAAACCTGGGCTGCTGAAGGGGAACATGCAAACTTAACCACTCAACCATGGGCCGACCTCCTTGCTGGCATCTTTGAAGCCTTCATCTAGTTGTGTCTGAAGTGAGTTACCTCTTAGTTTTCTCAGAAAAGTAAGTCATGAAGTTACCTTTTAATTTAAGCTGATGTTGGTTGAGTTCCTTTCACTGACAACTAAAAGTGTACCAACTAAATCACTGACTACCTATATATATATTTTTAATATAGCGTTACCATGTTAGAATATTAATTTTAGGAGGACAAGGAAGGCCCTTCCCTATTTTGTTCACCATTTTATCTCTATTATATATCACAGTGACTGACACGAAGACGTGCTTAATAAATATCTATGGAATGAATGAATAAATGATTAATCTAATTAGTGAAATTTAATTTAATAATTTAGATCAAGCTGTTGGGCACCCATTTTGTGCAAGGCCTTATCTTAGGAGACAGGAAGATGATAAAAGGAATAACAGAAACAGAGACTGTGTCCTCTAGTTTCTGATTTTGTGCAGGCAGTGAGGTATAACAATAATTTAAGGCAGAGTAAGAGAAGGGGCTCAAGGGTGTGAAAGTTGTATGTTAAAGAGCAGCCAAGTTGTCAAAGGGCTCTGGTTAGACTACCTGAATTTGAATCAATGCTCTACACTTGTTAAGAGAGGAACCTTGGATATATTACTTAAACTTGTTTCCTTATCTGTAATATGGGAGTAATATTTGTATGTCCTTTATAGATTTGTTATGAGGACACATCAAGATTTTCTCCTTAAAACAATTGAAATGCCTAGGATATATTAAGTACTCAGTAACTTTTAGCTGTTTTTATTTCAGCAAGCAGAGATAGCTGGAACATAAGTTAAATACTAAAGAAGAGAGAGCTGGAAGTGAAGTCACCCTTGGAAGCTGAATATTGGTTATATTGCAAGCCAATAGCAACTATTAACAAAACCCCATGTACAAGGTTTGAAATATAAAATCATCCAGCAAAATCTTACTTTAGTGTTACGTGGGTTAGATTCATACAAAGCTAGATATATTTTAGAAGAGATGAGTTAAGACATGCATCCTTGGTCAATAGAAGAAGGAAAGGACTTTTACATTATATTTTTAAGAATTTTAATAAGAAACAATTTAGCATTTTAAACTCTGAGTGATCATGATAATGTTGGATTTTTACTAGATATTCTGCAGGAGGAACTGAAAAAAAAGGATTTTTCAAAAATAAATACTTTCCCTTGTCTTGCTAATAAGGTAGACATGCAGAAGATTAATTATTATATAGTTAGATGGAGATGGACTTCTGGATTCATTAATATACAATGCTTAAATCTCATAAAATTTGATGAAATTTTACAAAGTCTCATTCAGAAATAAATGTCCTTTTAAGTCATGAAATGCTTTTTATAATTACTTTTTTTTTTGCTTTAATCTGCAACTCATGGTAAAGTAGTAGTTTCCCGAGAGTCTCCAGATACAAAGGAAAATGGAGTCCCATTAATGGAAAGAAAGTAGCTTCAAATATGCTTGGTACTGATGGCCTACCTATTTCGGAAACATGGGGGCATTTCCTCTTGATTCAGGGGTCTCTGGAGAGAATGAAACAGCATGGTGTAGTGGAGGAAAGAACACAGGCATTGGAAATCTTAACAAGAATATTTTAAAGTTGTGTGACCTTGGGCAAAATAACCTTTTTGAGCCCAAGGTTCCCCATGAGTAGAAAGAAGTAACAACATTAACTTCATTGTGTTTTCGTGAGGATTAAAGACAGTATTTACAGGGTGACATTCATGTTTTTTGGCAAATGATAGGTGATCGATGTATGACAGCTATTCTTATAAATTATCCATTATCTCCAGTTATTAATAACAAAAATATATTAATGAGATTCTATTTCAGATCTTATGCAGTAATGGGAAATATTACACACATCAAAATAAAAGTAAAAGAATAAGTGACTGCTGGAAATTCAAAGGCAGAAAGATGTGAATAAATAAAGCTATTGAGACAAGCGTTAAGTAGCAACTTGCAAGATTTTGGTAGATGTTGATTGAGTCTTAGCTGATATCACAGCTGATGAATAGCCACAGCCACGTTGAGCACTGCAGCCTAACTTTTTCATAGCTGCAGCCTGCTCCAAAGGTGAAGTGGACGGAGGTTTTCCAGACGAAGATTGTGACGATGAAACAGCTGTTCTCCACGTCCTCTTCTTCTCAGCCTGTATGCCTTTCTTGTATAGCCTGTAAAGTAAGCATAAGTCCAGTTTCTTCCAGGAGCCAGATTTCCTGTCTTAGCATTCTCTATCCAACTTTTCTGCCCTTGTTCCTACAGTCTTTTCTGGCCTCCTCTTCTGACCTTCCACTCTATCCAGTTTCTGTTTCTTGTTTGTTTAATGAAATGCTCTCTTACGTTCTCAAACCTAAGTTTCCTCCAGGGCCCTCTCAATTCACCTCACACCATGGAAGGACATAACTCTCCTTAAGAATTATAAAATACAGACTGGAATTTTAAAAGCAGTTAATCTTTGGCTCTAAGAACTCTTCATTGTCTTAGATTGAAACTGATCAACCCCCCAGATTTACATTTTAACATGTATAACATTATCCACTGGCCCAGGGTTATCCTTAAGAAGTAAGATTTTTTTTGTTTTCTCTTTTTTAATGAAACACTTCACGAATGTATGTCGTTCATGCGTAGGCACCATGTTAATCTTCTCTGTATCATTCCAATTTTAGTATATAAGCTGCTGAAATGAGCACTCTTTTCTTTCTTTTTTTGAGAAGAGTATCTCTTGCTGTATATATGGTCTATTTGCAATAGATTAAAACTTATTTTTGCTTTAGGGGATACACATTTTTTCCTCTGTGTTTTCTTTTTTTCCTAGAAAAAAATCTTGCAAAGTAGTCTATCACATAAAAAAGATAAATTAGAGCTGATCTTGTTGAGGGGTAAGTGGGAGCAGACCTCTGTTCTTTCATTCCCATCATTTCCAGGGCCCCTGTAGTACCTCTGAGGAACCCCATGCCTGGGAAACACATTAACAAACTCTTGGGTTAGTGAAAAGAGTTATTAACTGGAATTTTGAAGACGAGTTTTAGCTTTAGTTCTAACATCAGATTGGTCTGTGTCACTGATAGGGTTAATTGTTTCATCTGTAAAACAAGGGTTTAGAACAGTGGTTCTCAATTTGGGCTGCGTATGAGAATCACCTGGGGAGCTTTTAAAAATCCTGATGTTTAGGCCTCACTCTGTACCAATTAAATTAGAGTCTCTGGGGCGTGACCCAGGCAACGGCATTTTAGAAAGCTCCCTGGGTGATTCCAATGTGCAACCAAGTTTCAAAACCTCCGAAGAATTTTTGAGCAATAATGTTCCACAAGCCTATGTGTCTGTGCAGCTTGTTTTGGTAGATGTAGTTAAAATGTGCAGAGTCATTTATTTATAGATAGTTCTCAGCGAGGAGTGGGGATGAAGGTGGGCATAAAGATTGAAACCTAGGAAAAAACATTTTTTTGATTATCTTAATAGCTCAGTGTGTTGGGCAAAACACTTAACTTTTTATATCCCTGATGGGAGTGATTTTAACTTCCTGTAAAATGAGGCTCTCAACTGAGAAATCATATTTAAATGCAACGTTATTATTTTTATACCAATAATGACACCATTTGTTGATATGATCAGCCAAGAATTACACCTAAATATTTTATTCACAAAATAAATAGAAAAGGCAGGTTGACTACTGAAATGTAAAATTTGGTTAATATCTCTCGGTTGGTGGTATAGATTGAAGGCAGATTGAAGTAACGTGCTGATAACAATGGCAGTCTCTGATACTGAGATGTTGATTGTAAGTGCTCTCATCAAAAAGGCAAAGGAAAGGGGCTGGCCCCGTGGCCGAGTGGTTACGTTCGCGCGCTCCGCTGCAGGCGGCCCAGTGTTTCGTCCGTTCGAATCCTGGGCGCGGACATGGCACTGCTCGTCAGACCACGCTGAGGCAGCATCCCACATGCCACAACTAGAGGAACCCACAACGAAGAATACACAACTATGTACCGGGGGGCTTTGGGGAGAAAAAGGAAAAAATAAAAAAAAAAATCTTTAAAAAAAAATTAAAAAAAAAAAAGGCAAAGGAAAAAACAGGATTACTGCCATGTGCTTCTTGTCAGTTATGACTAACTATTGTTTCAGCAGAGTTTTCAAATTAGAAAAAAATTTCACAGTATTGGTAAGCAATTGATCCTAAAAGATATACAAATTGGATGATAATTATTCAGGCTATAATCTCCAAATGTCAAGTGAACTTATTATGATTGGGTAAGTTACAACGAATACCAAATAGTTTAAAAATGATAGCACAGAACAAAATGACTGATACTAGGTATGTTAGATGTATAACTAAACAGAACTACCTTTTCATTTTATTATTACCAATGCCATTTACATATTTCCTTTCATTTTTGGGCAGCTAATAGGTATTGAGGATTCATGTGCTTTAATCTCCCCTTTTAACAAGGTAGTTCTTTTCTGGAAGTTGGTAACCTTTAAATAAAAGAAAAAGTGCAATTATCACTTGTGGAAGGATGATATATTAATAATTTTGTGACCTTGTCCTTAGACTTTTTGCTGGAATAGGTTTACAACAACCGAATAAAAAATAATTTTACACGTTTTCTAGACAGAAAAGTCAGCTAGTGCTTTGTGTTTTTGTGCTCTAGTCCTTTTCACCCCAGAAAAAAGTTTACACGCATGTTTTTATGTGGAAGTGCCCCAAGAGGTTGGGCAATAAGCCCCAACACTGACTTGACAGACTAGGAGAAAGTGCGTAGAGATAATTCACACAACGTGGAATTGAGCCAGTAGCAGCATTGGCTATCTCTGAAGGAACCATATTAACAAGGACAATGAGGGCTTTTCCCAATGGCCATGGGTGACCACTGGTGGAGAACTTCCTCTGTTTTTCTGGGACTTTGTAAGTTATGATGTCTTGGTACCATATAAAATGAATGCATGAGTGAGAAGAATTGGGCTGTGGAGGGAAGGGAGAAAGAGAGAGAGAGAGAGACAGGCAGGCAGGCAGGCAGGGGAGTAGAATGGAGCAATGAAACACAGAAATTATTGATGTTGTTCTTTTCACCAAACTTGGCCAGTGGAGACCAAGTGGAGACTGGAGCTAAACATAATTTGGTTTAGATAAATTAAAGGTATATAAGATTTCCTGTACTTTGTGTGTTATATAGCACAACTTTGATTGTCACATACCTTTGAAAATGTATAATTGGTACAAATAAAGCTCAATATTTGGTCATTAGTAAGTTGCCTCTTTTTAGAGAACAAATCTCGGAAACACCTCCATGATGTCTTCTTAGTTTGCCCAGTTCCGTAGTGACCGCTTCCTACTCTGAACTTGATTTCATGACTTATGAATACCTGCTTTGTGACTTTCTTCTTAGTTTCCTCATCATGTAAATGACATTTTATTAACATATATAGATTTCAAATTTCCACTGTGATAGGATTGCCTAAAAAGAGAAGTTGAGCTAATGAGTGTATGAATATTGCTCTAGACTAAGCTCTAGGCTAGAGGGCAGGAACTAACAATACCGTTTATCCATGTGTTTTCAGCTGACAGCACGGTGCAGGCACATAGGAAGAGCTCAGTATGTGTTTGTTGAAGGACTGCATGAATAGACTGAACCTGAAATGAGGGCACAAATACATGTAACCACTTGAAGAGTTGATTGATCCATATCTCATGAAGGGTTAGTCTGTTATACCCAGATAAGAATTTCTAATCCGGCATGATATGTGCTTTTTACTAATATATTGAGGCAACTAGTCTGATTAATGTCAGTAATAGAGGGAACTTTGATCAGATCTCGCAAATTATAGTCTCTTCCTAATTTTTCAACCAAGTCTCATATTTTGTATTTTTTATCTTTTCTGCAAAAATGAAGATGGCAATCCCCTCACCAACACGCACACTCAATTTTTCTCAAGCTGTGTCATTTTTCCCTGAGAGTTTTATTTTGAGTTGCCCCAAATCATCCTATCATGCCACTGCATTTTATCTCAGGCGAATCTGAGAGGTGAAATCTAGAGGTTCTTTTGGTAGAGAAAATCTAGGAACTTCTTGTAAAGTATTTCTGTGACCATTTAAATTAAATCTTTGACACTTCTCTCCATTGAGATACAGGGTCACTCGCCTTGTATTTGGGTGGGCTTGTGTCTGCTGAAATCAAGAAAATATGGCAGAAGTGACACTCTGTGACTTCTGAGACAGATCATATAAGGCCACGGGTGTTCTGACTTGTTTGTCGAAACAACTAGCTGTGGTGTGAGAAGTCTGACTATTCTGAGGCCCCAAGGTGGAGAGGCCGTGTGTAGATGTGCTCAGCTAAGCATCTCACCTGAGTCCAGCTTTCCAGCCATGCTTTCCAAGGTGCCACATGTATGGATGAAGAAGCCGTCTTGAAAGTGGGTTTCAGCCTCAGCCGTTCTAGCTCCAGCTATTTGAGCCACCCCCAGCTGAGGCCCAAAACATCAAAGTGCAGAAACAAACTGTGCTCTCTCTGAATTCATGACCCACATTTTCTGTGAGCATAGTAAAAATGCTTGTTTTATGCCACTAAGTTTTTGGGTGATGTTTCAATGCAAGAATAGTAACTGGAACAATTTCAATACCAAATTTTGTATACCAAGGGATATATTTAATTTTAAAAAGTTAAATCAAACGATATTTGTATTTTTCTTTTTATAAGTAATATGTCATTTCAAATTTAATGTGGAAAACTTCAAATGTGCTTTATTTTCTCTATCGTTTTAAAGTTCGAAATCACTAAATGATAAATTCAATGTTTCAGTGTCTTTTGAGGACATGTGGAAAATATATCAGTTATTTTTAGCTGCTACCCTTTTTTGGGGAGGGTGGGAGGGAAGAAGAAATAAAAGTCCCTCTATAGCACTGCTTTCTATTTTCACTGTCCCTGGAGCGATCACTGTGGAGGGCTGAGTTAGCCCGAATCTCTCGACGGCGTTTTTCCACTGGAGTCACTTCTGGCATATGCTAGTATATGTGACAGGATAAAGGGTCTCCATGGGGGAACGGCTGGGAACTGTTGTATCCTATACGCTGTTCTTAGGAAGTGATGATGAATATTCGCATACTGACTAATCTGAGGGGTCCTAAAAGAAGGAAATCTGGGTGACTCTGTTTAACCCGTGTTTCTAAACTCTTTTGACCATGTCCAGGCCATTTGACCACAGAACACATTCATAGAACACATCTTTTAATATCTAGTGTTTTGTGTTACCAGTTTAGAAAATTCTGATTGTTCTAGATGGAGTAGTAATTAGTCAATATGCAAAGAATGTGTTTCATTGTTTTTCTTTCATTCATATACAGTCCTTCAAATTTATGAAGTATACAAGAACATCAATGATGACCTTTAGAACTCCAAAGAATGAATGAATGATAAATGTGAAGAGAAAATGCAGGAGGTAGGACCAGAAAGGAAGGCAGCAACACCAATTAAGAGTATTATAAATAATCTAGGTCTGATATTATTAACCATCATCCCCTTTCCCAGCTTCATTCCTCCTACTTAGTTCCAGGGATTTTTTCTGAATTTCCAGGAGAAGCACAAAAAGCATTTGAAATAGGCATGTTTAACACTATGATTATTTAAATTTGCTTTTAGTTGTATCATTTAACTGTCTTGATATTTCAAATAGCAATAGGGGAGGGTGTGAGCATAAGCAT